TTTTCAACCAGAAAGTGGTATAGGATGACAACTTATAAGTTATGAGCATTTGTACTCGGGACCTCGAGCGCAACAGTAAACACTCTTCAACCAGTGGAGCTATGCAAACACCCCTTACTTGCTTTCTTCAAATCCCATTTAAATAAAATTCAATGGTCACTTTTTGTTGGAAACATCATATGCAGGGCTGTAATGCACAAAGTCTCTCAAACATTCTCTCTTCTTCAAAAAATTGAAGACCCATTTCTTGAATTCAACATTTGACATTTTTACAGAATCATAACAATTTTATTATAAAAGGAAAATTGAATTCCCACATTTTCTAGCAGCATGGCTTGTGCAGATAATTATTTAGTTAACTATTTTAGTTTAGGGACAGTTGTAAAATTGAGTTCCCCCACTGCAGAAAACTTCACCACTTTCATGGAAAAGGAAAATTGTAGACATACAGAAAGCATAACTTCTAGTCACTGCTGCTGAAAAAAAGAAAAAAAATTGGGTGATCGCATAACCAGATTTTTTGAGTAACACTACAGTTCCAAGGTTTGAGCACATTTATTTCAGAACTTAACTAGTTAGACAAAGGGACAGATACAATAAGAAAATTTGTCTGCTTTGCAGCAGATGGTTTTCCATTAAGGAAATTGTGGTTAATTTCCCACACTGCTTACAAGAATTGGACTTCTAACACTATGAGTTCCATCGTACCAAATCAGCTCTGCAGACACATGTGATCCATCTGGAAAACCTTCTCCAACAATGGTCAAATTGAAAGTCTTCTCCTCATTCAAGGTCCTGAAGGAAAGAACTTCAGGATCCACCTTGATGTCAACTTTAGGATTTGGCATGATTTTGGCCTCGTAAGTGGAGTTGGCAAGGCCAACATTTTTCACTGTTCTGTGAAATGTAACCGTAAACGGTTTCATTGGTGTAACATTTGCTGCCAGTGAAGCGTAATTGTGATCCTTCGGTGATCCTTTCTCAGAACCTTTGGGGCAAGTGCTGTTATCTCCTGATATATGCCTAACTTTGGCCTCATCTAACACTATGCAAAGCAACCTTATGTAATCTTCTTTCGAAGCATCATACACAAGCCCAGGGTCTATAGCTTTCACAGGATCAATATGTCCAGATCCATAAGAAAATTCACCAGGAGAAGTGCTGGTACCATTCATGGGCTTAGCAGTTGTCATTAGAGATGATTTGATGGCTGCTGGAGACCAATCAGGGTGGAATGTTTTAATATATGCAGCTACACCAGCAGCATGTGGGCAAGACATGGATGTTCCAGACAGTATACTGTATTTTAGACTCCTCTTGTCCTCAGGGCTACTTGTGACAGAAGCAACAGGGGAATATGCAGCCAAAATATCTACCCCTGGGCCGCTTATGTCTGGCTTAATAATCTCTGGTAAAATTCGATTAGGTCCACGTGAAGAGAAGGAAGCGGCAATAGGTGCATCATCATCTTTTATGGCTTCACTTTTTAATATGTTGGCTCGAGGCTCTTTCGTGGAGTTCAGGAAGGACTTCACGACAGTATAATCTTGGTTGCTTAAACCCGTTGCAGGTAGCGGGACAACAAAAGAAACATCAGGTGTGGAAGAGTGTAAAATTGAACCTAGCGCACCGGCTTTATGAGCCTCAACATTTCCACCAAACTTATCACATACCACAATCTTTCCTTTAACTAAATCTCTGTCTAGGCAACCTGGTGAACAAATCCCAGCATAGATTTCGGGGCACTTACTTGAAGCATCTTTTCCATGTATCAGTGGAAAACTTGTTCCATTTAAACTGAAAGAGTTCACCGAACTCCCAACGAGTGTGCTTCCATTTCCAAGAACAACCTTGTCAATGATCCGACGATCTGTGCTACTTGCTGCAACTGTAAGAATCCACGGTGCCACACTTGATACAGAACCCTCTTCAGGACCATTGTTACCTGCAGAGTTTGAGGTTAGTATCCCTTTCTCCATTGCATGAAAAGCACCAATTGCTATAGGATCAACATCCAAAGGAGATGCATGATTTGGTCCAATTGAAATTGTAATGATGTCAACCCCATCGGCAATAGCGTGGTCGAAAGCAGCCATGATAGCCTCTCCAGTGCACCCTTCAAGAGTGCAGATTTTATATACAGCAATTCTCGCAGAGGGAACTCCTCCTCTTGCAGTACCTGGTACTAGTCCATAAAAACTCACATCCTTTACGGCATTCCCAGCTGCCGTTGAGGCAGTGTGGCTTCCATGACCAATTTCATCCCTTGCAGATTCCTCCTCTGATGTGAAAAACCGAGCTCCAATCAACTTCTTGTTGCAAGTGAAATTTTTTCCACCATTACAAGCACCTTTCCATTTCATAGGAGCAGGCCCAAAACCTTCATCTTTAAAACTATCTGATTCAGGCCAAACTCCAGTGTCAATCACACCAATAATAACATCACTCTCAGCCGTGTCATTTCGAGTGATTGTCTCACCGAAACTCATGAAGTCCCAAGATCTTGTTGTTTGAAGTTGGTAAGTTCTGCTTGGGAAGACAGAGACTACTTCCTTCATGTTAGCAAGCTTTTCGCTCTCACGGTCAGTGAGCTCCGCCACAAATCCATTGAAACTCCTTCTGTAACTTCTTATCCAGGCATTTGCAGCAGAGCTGCCCTCGACGACTCTTTCGAGTATACCAAGGTGGTGAGACAATGGTGAGTACAACTCATCATGAGGAAGTGACCCCAAGTACACAATATATGGCTTTCTGTCTTCATGACCAATGGCTTTGCACAATAAGCTCATACTGAGTATGAGAATGAAGAAAGCATAAGTAAACAAGAATGCTCCATGCTTAGCCATTGTTCAATGCTCAAAACCTTAACTGGTGAACAATACTTTATAGTAGAATGCTCAAAAACCTTAGCCTTTAAGCATCCAGATTTTGCTTCTCTGCAATTACAGATAAGGAAATCTGTGATTCATTATTACAACAGATATGCATCCATATTTTACTTTCCTTCCATGGGATTCATTATTAAAAGGATTCAGAATTTCTTTCCATCTAGGATGACAAAAATATAAGTTCAGAGTTTTCTGTTCACACATCTCCTGGGTCCATAAATTACGGACTGCATTTGTACTTTTTTTTTCCCATTCAACTGCATATGTACTCAAAAGTGTCCCAAATTCATCCTTTTGCAACAAGTTTAGAATTATTGGGACAAGAATTAAGGCTTCAAGTCTCATTTAAACAAAATCCAAGCATCCGACTTCTGACAGAATTTATCCCCTCGTAACCAAACTAAATCAATTACATAACGCCTAGTGTCCTAAATATAATCCAAATATTAGCCTTTGTTGTAGTGGTAGTTGTCTCGACTTGATTCGAGAGTTCGCCCAATATGGATGCAATTACTATATGTAGTTGTGATAAAGTTGTGACTAGCCCATTGTTTGTAAAAATATACTTAGTATATAATAAAATGATTGACAATATTTCTGGAGTTGTCTTCTAAAAGATTTTACGTTTGGCTCCTTCTTTCCCTTAACACTCCAACTCTCCTTCTCCTTCACTCATATGTGCAAGCAAAGTCCTTTTTACACACACACACACAAAGTGCTCTATCGATTGAAGACGTCAAAAATACAAATTGATGGTGTATGGGGCGATATCAAATTTCTTGTTATTCCAACCAATATGTTTTTTTGGTGATACGCAATGTCATGTTAATCCTGTTCAGATAAGTATTCTCTGAGCTCTCCCCACGGTTTGGTTTGGTGACCCTTTTTTCCCATTGAAAGAATTTCAGGCAACATCAGGACCGTATGGCCTACTTCGATCATGTAGCTTTTCCAAATTAGTGAACTATAACGTTTTTGGTATCGAATTGACGAAATTGAAATTAAAGAAAGAAAATTCTACTATCACTGCATTTTGGATCTCTAGTCAGAAAACTGAATTAACCACCCACTGAAGAAAGAGAAAAAATAAAATTGTAAGCATATAAAAGAGATGATATCTGATCACTATTGCTAAAATGTACCTTTTCTTCTTGACATTGCCCCGAAGGTTAATTTGACAACAATAATAAAATTGTGATTAAGGTGTACATGAGAATTGGACTTTCTAACAGTCTGAGTTCCACCAGACCATGCATAATCGTGGACCCGGCTAGTCTGACAAATGGTGGAGTTTTATACAAAAAGTCTCAATACTATTAATAGTTGAATCACTCATCAATTATATATTGTACATGGCTTATTAGGGTAATTAGATAGCCAGAGACGAACCATAGGCCACCACTAATAACATTAATATTGTCCAAAACTTAACCACTTACAAGGCGTTGTAAGTGTGGGGCTTTACCACAAAAGGGCTCGGTGTTATTAGTAGTGGAACTACTGATTATATGTTGTAAGTTGTTTAGTCAAGTTTTCGATGTGGAACTTTATAACTTTGCATTTCCAAGAGACTGTCTTTTAGTTTGTGGGTTGAGCGTTAGCTTTGCATCACATAGCTTCAATCAAAAGGATTTATATGTAGTACATATAACTCAAAAGAATGTGACCAATAGGGTCTAGTCCAGTGGAAAAGGGTATTAAGTTTTAGACCATTGATCTCATATTCGAACCTTTCTATCCTTGTATTTTAATTAGACTATCGCTTGTATTAAAAAAATAAATAAAAATAAATAAATAAAAACCTCAAAAAAATGTGGTAAATTAAACTGAAAAATTAAGGGTAATATTTTGTTAAGCAACTACTAGTTCACAATAGATAGAGTTAAATCCTTTTTTTAGTAACGATAGTCTAAACTACAGGGAAGAGGGTTTCTTACACACACACACACACACACACACACACACACTATTATGATGTCATGGGGGTTTGAACTTGAGATAACTAGTCTGCAAATTCAGACCATTTTCCACTAGGCTAGACTCTATTGGCATATATGATTTCGACCATTGAGGCTACTGTCAAAACTTCAAACAATCTACTTGTTCTTGATTCGTTCACATAAATTACGTTTCAATTAAACTGCCAATCCTAGAAATATACATTTATTCTCTTAATTTCACTTCCAAAAATATTGGAAATAGTTTTAAAAAGCATATTACCAGACAAGTTATGAGTTTTTGCTTAAATTAGTACATATATGTGGAATACACAAAGCCTCGTCTGATTTCTTGAAACTTGCAGGATGTGGACAAATCAGCTTAATTTCTTTTCCTCTTATTCAAGAGGGATGATTGGATCTGTTGATTTTGTGCTACTATAATTAAATTGCAGAAGAACTTACATTTTCATGCTTTTAGTTGGTGTGAGTAGTGTGTACTTCTAATGGTGTCGCAAATACATTCGCGCCAACACACGACGTGCCAAATTAATGAGTATTTGTGAGGGCCGCGTGCACCATCGCAACACAGTCACAGTGTCACAACAGACCAATTTTCTTCTTGTGTGCAGTAATCACATAAATTAATTAGAGTGCTGCTAAAAGAATCTTAAAATTAACTGAGTACACTCTATGATCTAAGTGCATCCTAATATTTAAATCAAAATGTAAAATTAACTAAATAAACCCTATTTAACTACCCATAATACACTCGATTTAAGTGATAGCCATGATAAGATGGTGGTAGTAGAAGTGGTGAAATCATATATTGAGAATAAAAATAATATATCTATCAAAATCTCTAGGGGG